CTACACCACGCCACTACACGACACGCACCCCTACACAAGGCTACTACACCACACCACCATATCACGCCACTACACCATGCTACTACACCATGCTACTAAACCATGCTACTACATCATGCTACTACACCACACCACTACACCACACCACTACACCACTACTACTACTACTACAACTACTACACCACCACTACACTACTACAACTACTACTACACCACCACTACACCATGCTACTACACCATGCCACTACACTAGGCTTCTACACCACACCACTACACAAGGGTACTACACCAGGCTATTACACAATGCCACTACATCAGGCTACTACACCACGCCACAACACCAGGCTACTACACCACGGTACTACACCAGGCTACTACACCACACCACTACACCAGACTACTACACCACACCACTAAACCAGGCTACTACACAATGCTACTACACCACGTCACTACACTAGGCTACTACACAATGCTACTACACCACACCACTACACCAGGCTACTACACCACGCCACATCACCAGGCTACTACACCAGGCTTCTATACCATGCCACTACACGCTACTACACCATGCTACTACACCAGGCTACTAACTATGCCACAAGACCAGGCTACTACACCACTCCACAACACCAGGCTACTTCACCACGCCACAACAGGCTACTACACCACTGTACTACACCAGGTTACTACACCAGGCTACTACACCAGGCCACTACACCAGGTTACTACACCAGGCTACTACACCAGGCCACTACACCAGGTTACTACATCAGGCTACTACACCAGGCTACTACACCAGGTTACTACACCAGGTTACTACACCAGGCTACTACACCAGGCTACTACACCAGGTTACTACACCAGGCTACTACACCACGCCACTACACCACGCCACTACACCAGGTTACTACACCACGCCACTACACCACGCCACTACACCAGGTTACTACACCAGGCTACTACACCAGGCTACTACACCACGCCACTACACCAGGTTACTACACCAGGCTACTACACCAGGCTACTACACCAGGCTACTACACCACGCCACTACACAGGTTACTACACCAGGCTACTACACCACGCCACTACACCAGGCTACTACACCAGGCTACTACACCACGCCATTACACCAGGTTACTACACCAGGCTACTCCACCACGCCACTACACCAGGTTACTACACCAGGCTACTACACCAGGCTACTACACCAGGCTACTACACCCGGCTACTACACCACGCCACTACACCAGGTTACTACACCAGGCTACTACACCACGCCACTACACCAGGTTACTACACCAGGCTACTACACCAGGCAACTACACCAGGCTACTACACCACGCCACTACACCAGGTTACTACACCAGGCTACTACACCACGCCACTACACCAGGTTACTACACCAGGCTACTACACCAGGCTACTACACCAGGCTACTACACCACGCCACTACACCAGGTTACTACACCAGGCTACTACACCAGGCTACTACACCAGGCTACTACACCAGGCTACTACACCACGGCACTACACCAGGTTACTACACCAGGCTACTACACCAGGCTACTACACCACGGCACTACACCAGGTTACTACACCAGGCTACTACACCACGGCACTACACCAGGTTACTACACCAGGCTACTACACCACGGCACTACACCAGGTTACTACACCAGGCTACTACACCAGGCTACTACACCAGGCTACTACACCACGCCACTATACCAGGTTACTACACCAGGCTACTACACCACGCCACTACACCAGGCTACTACACCAGGCTACTACACCAGGCTACTAACCACTCCACTACACCAGGCTACTACACCACGCCACAACACCAGGCTACTACACCACGCCACTACTCTACACCACGCCACTATACCACGACACTGCACCAGGCCACTTCACCACGCTACTACACCATGCCACTACACCACGCCACTACACCATGCTACTACACCACACCACTATACCAGGCTACTACACCAGGCTACTAACCACGCCACTACACCAGGCTACTAACCACGCTACTACACCAGGCTACTGCACCACGCCACTACACCAGGCTACTACACCACACCACTATACCAGGCTACTACATTACACCACTATACCAGGCTACTACACCAGGCTACTGCACCAGGCCACTACACCACGCCACTACATCACGCTACTACACCACACCACTACACCACACCACTACACCTAACTACTACACCAGGCTACTACACCACTCCACTACACCAGGCTACTACACCACACCACGCCACCACACACCATGCCACTACACCAGGCTACTACACCAGGCCACTACACCACCCCACTACTCCACCCCATTACATCACGCTACTACACCAAGTTAATACACTATGCTAATACAAATGATAAATGAATAAAAATTATGAACCCAACTTATTATGATGCATTGTTTTACCAAATGTAGAAATATTTTTTTATGTTTTTACATTTCCCATTTTATTCATATATGAGCATTTTAACTTGAAACACTTCATAAAAGGTGTCATAAAGTTTAAAATTAGGTACAAAAGGGGTCACAAAGTTTCAAATTAGGGTACAAAAGGGGTCACAAAGTTTAAAATTAGGTACAAAAGGGATCACAAAGTTTCAAATTAGGGTACAAAAGGGGTCACAAAGTTTCAGATTAGGGTTAGGTTTGTAGGTTTTGGTTAAAAGTTTTGGAAATTCCTATTTAATTCCACACAAAATAACGTACCTAATTCGTGAAAACAAACGTTTCCAATCCTTTCAAACACTTTCCTGGAACGTTGTGGAAACTTGAAATTGTTTGCTGGGCGGGATGTCCACATCCTCGCCCTCGGAATCCACCCCAACAGGGAGTGGCGGGAAATCCTCCCGGAACAAGTTCACAGGAGCGACTGCAGCCCCAGAGTACCTGGCAGCCTGATGCCCCAACAGGCCACACCGAAAACAGGTACTAGGTTGCCAGGCAGAGTATACCCAAATGTAGTACCCAAGAAGCCAGCCTGAAGAAGGAATGCCCGACCTCAGGCGCATCCCATGGGTATGAATGTTTGTACACATACCCTTATACCTCCCCGAGGACAGGGTGTTCACCCGCACACTGATAACAGCGCCCAACTGCTGGAAGTAACGCTGGAGTAGACCCTTGGGAAACTCCAAGGGTGCCCCATGCACAATTACTTATGTCAGAACACCTATACGGTCCGTAATGGTCAGAGAGCCGGCACCATCTGGCAGCAACGAGGAACGCCCCTCATAACAAAGGAGGAACTCAAGGTACGCCTCCTCCCCTCACTAATTTGACAATAACCTGGTGAGCAGTGACCAGCTCAACACCGTAGACGTCATCCACCGGGACACAGAGTATGTGACACATGACAAGCTCAACTGCAGGGTAACCAGCATGGCCTGCAAACTCCAGGCCCACGGAGTTCACTCTCACAACAGGGGGAAGAAGGCCTTCCATCGCAAGCGTGTCACGTCAACACCAGCCAACACAACCCGTTCTCGCAAATTTAATAAGTCAATATTGACTTATTAAATATGTGCGTAGGTGACATACTTAATATAATAGATACCATTAAAAAGATTCATAGAAAACACCGACCTTACCTAACCTTGTTAGTATCTTAAGATAAGCATCTTATTGCTTCGTAATTACAATTATTACCTAACCTATAATAGGTATAGGTTAAGTAATAATTGTAATTACGAAGCAATAAGATGCTTATCTTAAGATACTAACAAGGTTAGGTAAGGTCGGTGTTTTCTATGAATCTTTTTAAGGGTTTCTATTATGTTTAGTATATCACCTATGCACGTAGTTAATAAGTCAATATTGACTTTACGAATTTGCGAGAACTGGTTGGCCACCACCAGGCAACTGCAGGGAGGGTGGGGACGCCCACACCCCCAGCCGATGGGCAAACAACCACCAACTACCGGAGGGCTCAGGCAACACGTCCACACCCCACGGCAGCTAGGGCACAACTCCAGTTGGAAGTAAATTGAAGCATTAGTTTGTGAGGTAGATCCTAGTCAGTATTTGATACGCTAATGGATACATTGATGAAATCATTAAAAAGCTGATGGATCGCCATGTCTCCTCTGATGAAACTGTAAACACTGCAGTATATACCCCACATATTCAATACTCCCACAGGAACTTGTTTTCAACGGCTCACAAGATAAAAGAAAGTGTTCTGAAAGACTTAGTCAACTAAAACGTGACACCATACCGACAATAACTAAAAGATACAGTTCATAATTTTCTGCTAGATCAAGAAAACTGCTGATTTACTCGTGAAAAACTCTCCGACTGCCAACCTGGGTCTGTCAGCCCAGATGATGTCAATATATAGGCAAGAAAATGAAACCTCTTTAATGGGAACTGGCAATGCACAAACTAAAAGGAATATCCTGACCATCAGCAGTGAAATAATCGATACATACAACGATAATAGAAGATTAGACAGAACCGAAGCACTACATTCATTCTCTATACTACAAAGTACTCTGCATTCTACTTTCATTCAACTATCAGCCCGTTTACACTTAGATGCATCTTACCATCTGCCTCTAACGATACTGGAGAATACGCTAGAAAAAATGTACCCTCTAGCGAAATGTGTTAGAATCACTAATTTTTATAAAATATACTTCGAAGAGTTGACTAGGAATGAGAACTATTACAGAGATATTTCTCTGTATTAGTTAATACAGAGAGGGGTGATGGAGAGAAAGTTTGACTGACTTATATAAGTTGATACACAATTCACACATTTCGTGTTGGAGGTTATCAGAAAAATCGTTATATGGACTATAATTACTATTACTTTTTGTTTCTTTTACAGCTTTCTCAACCATTAGAGCCGACCATTCACGGTGAAGTCAGAATAATTGTAAGCCGAATCATTATACAAAAAAGCGTTGTATACCATATCATTAATTAATGCTCTCCCCTCCCTCGCTGTTCTTGACAGTACCTGGAGTTGAGATTCAAGTCGAGATGTCTGCGGAAGATGGCCACCTGTTGCCAACTGCTGCTGATAGCCATGAGCATGAGCATGGGTGTATATGTTCCTTCGCTCGCCCTCTCTGCTGTCACAAACCTCACCACCGTCACCTCCATCCTCATCATGGGCAGCATCTCCACCTTCTACGTTACCATTGTGAGTACAGCTCCTGGTACGAAAGTAAAGCTATGAGCGGGCCGGCTGTTATGAAACTGTTGTATGTCATTATTGTAGTCACCCAAATACTTGGCCCGATGTTCCCCGCCTCAAGTCTATGTTGAGGAACAAATTTAAGAAATTTCCTGTATTATAAGGCTTAAGGATAGCTAAAACGCTAGTTCATTTTTACATCTGGCATACTCAAGGAACAGGTGCAGAAAACGATTAATAACAATAATATATTAAATAAGGTGGATGCAAATTTAACCGTCCAGCAAATAAGAACTTTCCAGCAATAGGCACCACTAATCTTAGTATAGCACAAATTTGACTTGAGACACGAAATTACTCACTGAGACAACCCTCATCCCCTAATTAGTAATAATCATATTATATATTAATATGGTACCTAGAAAATTATTATTTCACTGGAAATTATTCACACAATATTTCACACTATATATAAGTATACATGAGTGTAAACATCCATGTTAACCACCGACCACAACAGGAATTAGCAGCCAGCACCAGCTTGTCTTCTTTCTAAAATCTAGCACCTATAGCAAGTGTAAAAGGGAGAGGGGGACTTGAACCTTCCTTCTCCCCCCCCACCCCCCCTTCCTTCCAGGCACATCGTTGACACATCAACATTTAATGACTTCTCTTATACTTCTTGCAAGGTTCTGAACTATCACTGGCAAGTGTAGAGTAAACAGTTAATCTCTTACAATATTCCGATAAACGGTCAGTTCTCAACACTGTACTTATAGTATTTAGAAAGGCTGCTTAAACAAGAGGTTATTGTTTATGCAGCCAGAGTATATATTACGTTTAGAACTGCAATATGTGTATTAATTGATAGATAACAAGGAAACATATATAATTATTATTCCTAAGACATATTCAATGAGTTTACAGGTTGCAAAACACTCATAATAATGATGCAAAATACCTGAATGGAACATGCAAAAAATATAAAATACAGTCCGTTTTATTTTGGTAGTTTTAGAAAGTGGACATCGGTACTACTGACTTTGGACAAACCTTCCCTAACCTTCGTAGGCATAATACACGTTATCTGAGGCCTTATATTGTATACATATATGTGCCATACTAGGTCTTGGAATATTTATGTTTGGTTATTAACATTTTTTTTTGACTCTATAAAGTGAACAGTACCATATTCTGCTATCGAATTGTCCATTAAATCTATGTACGAAGGAGGATGAATTAAAAAAACGAGACATGTAAATTAAATTATATCCTTCTATTTCATGAACAAAAAATGCATGCCTTTAGTGTCATTTACATATTTTTTAACTTCACTAATGATTTGAATCATACAAATGAACTTAAATAAGTCAACCTTGATTAGCTTCTCTATTAAAGCATTGCACTGGAAATCATTTTGAGGCAATGGAGCGACTTGAACTCGCGTTTTGGTGATTCCCAGACGCATGCCTTGACTGCTCGGCCAGTGGTACAAAAGTTGACCAACCCAGAACTCTACTGAGCTCTCTAGGAGGTTCTGGAGGTCCCAAACCGGGGACCGAACCAAGGATTGGTTCAATGATTCGAACCAATGGATATCGAGCGGGAAGATCGTGCCTCTCACAGCTACTTGAGCACTACGACAAAGTCACTGAGGCATTAGAAATGAAACAGAATGCTGATGTGATATACACGGACTTCGCAAAGGCTTTCGATAAATGTGACCATGGCGTGATAGCACACAAAATGAAGTCAATGGGAATAACCGGTAAAGTAGGACGCTGGATACTCAGTTTTCTGTCAAACAGGACTCAGCGAGTAACTGTCAACCATATAAAATCTAGTCCAAGTGCAGTGAAAAGCTCTGTACCTCAGGGTACAGTCCTTGCACCGCTGCTTTTCCTTATTCTCATATCAGATATAGACAAAAATACAAGTCACAGCTTCGTATCATCCTTTGCAGATGACACAAAAATCAGTATGAAAATTACCTCGGCTGAGGACATTGGAAAACTTCAAGCTGATATTAATAAAGTTTTCGCCTGGGCATCAGAAAATAACATGATGTTTAACAGTGATAAATTCCAGGTACTCAGGTACGGTAAAAATGAGGACCTTAAACATAATACAGAGTACAAAACACAATCAAATGTACCCATAGTAGGAAAACAGCATGTAAAGGATTTGGGAATAATAATGTCTGACGACCTAACGTTTAAGGAGCATAACCAAGCAAATATTGCGACAGCCAGAAAAATGATAGGATGGATTACGAGAACTTTCAAATCCAGGGATCCCATCACAATGGTTGTACTCTTCAAGTCACTTGTGTTGTCCCGTCTTGAGTACTGCTCAGTACTCACTTCCCCCTTCAGAGCAGGAGAGATTGCTGAAATAGAGGGAATACAGAGAACATATACGGCACGCATAGACGCAATAAAGCACCTAAATTATTGGGATCGTCTCAAAGCCCTCCAAATGTACTCACTAGAAAGAAGACGAGAGAGATATCAAATAATATACACCTGGAAGATACTGGAGCGCCAAGTACCAAATCTACACAGTAAAATAACAACGTACTGGAGTAAACGATATGGAAGAAAATGTAGAATAGAACCAGTGAAGAGCAGAGGTGCCATAGGCACAATCAGAGAAGACTGTATAAACATCAGAGGTCCGCGGTTGTTCAACGTCCTCCCAGCAAGCATAAGAAATATTGCCGGAACAACCGTGGACATTTTCAAGAGGAAACTAGATTTATTCCTCCAAGGAGTGCCGGACCAACCGGGCTGTGGTGGGTATGTGGGCCTGCGGGCCGCTCCAAGCAACAGCCTGGTGGACCAAACTCTCACAAGTCAAGCCTGGCCTCGGGCCGGGCTTGGGGAGTAGAAGAACTCCCAGAACCCCATCAACCAGGTATCAACCAGGTAAGGTTTTACAGTCGATCGGACAGCCGACACAAGGCATGCAACTGGGAATCACCAGAAGGCGAGTTCAAGTCACTCCATTGTCTAATAAGGATTTTCATTGATATATATAACGCCTTTGTGATATCATTACGATCTAGGTGGGGGGGGGGGGAAGAGGTGTGTGAACGCATTACCGTAGGCCACAGTGTGGTTGGGTTGGCTAGAAAACCCTGGTTGGGCTCCGGTTTGGGGCCCCAAGAACCTCCTAGAGAACTCAGTAGAGTTCCGGGTTGGTCGACGTTTGTACTACAAAGACCGAGCGGTTAAGTCTGGCGTCTGTGACCCATCAGAACGTGAGTTCAAGTTGCTTCATTGACTCAAAAGGATTTTCATTGATATATTACGTCACTGTGATATCATTGCAATCATTACATAAAAATTCTACCAGTGTTAACGAATTACTGTCCAACCAAACCTGTTTAAAAGCAATTAATTCTTAATCTTAAGAATGTTTGACATAAAGCAACAATAATTATAAGACATACAATGGTATGCAACATAGTCACTGGTTTGTCCCCAGGCTTTTAATAGAATATTAGCTTAAATTTAGTTATGAAGAGGCTTCTTGGTCGTCCATAACAGCAGTATAGGCAATGAATAGGTATTAATTAGTATATTGCCTATAATGAAGATTTCAGCAGGTCTCCTTATCAAAGTACTGCAGGATCCCAAATGCGATCATGTTGCTTGGTTCTTTCTTGGGTCTGTGGAGTTAATTCGTCTTCACTTCAAGAGCTCTGATGTCGCAGTTATTCAGGTAAAATCTAATGTGAGTCGACGCTGTTTATAACTATGCTGTAGGTCACTCCGCAAATAAATTCTCTCAAGTAGGAAACTGCAAAGAAGAGAGGGTTGTTTTGTACGTAGAGAGGGTCGTTGTGTACGTAGAGAGGGTAGTTGTGTACGTAGTGTGGGTCTTTGTGTACGTAGAGAGGGTCGCTGTGTACGTAGAGTGGGGGGGCGTTGTGTACGTAGAGAGTCGTTGTGTAAGTAGAGTGAATCGTTATGTACGTATAGAGAGGGCGTTGTGTACATAGAGAGGGTTGTTGTGTACGTTGGGAGTGCCGTTGTGTATTTGAGAGGGTTGTTGTGTACGTTGGGAGTGCCGTTGTGTATTTGAGAGGGTTGTTGTGTACGTAGAGAAGGTCATTGTGTACGAAGAAAGGGTCGTTGTATACGTAGAGAGGATCGTTGTGTAGTTCAGAGAGGGTCGTTGTGTACGTAGTGGTCGTTGAGTACGTATACAGGGTCGTTGTGTACGTAGAGTGGGTCGTTGTTGTAACGAGGGCCCAGCCTTTAACCTCGTATACTGGTTAAATGTTGGTCGTTATTAATTTAATATATACAGAAACCTGAGTTCTACTGTGTAACCTAATAGTTCACCTCCTCAAAATCTAAACGTTTGACCGTTTAGAGTTCACGCTAGAAGATACTGTACTCTTCTATGCTACTCTGCAAAGCCTCTGAAAACGCCGCCACCACCTGCTACCCACTGAGTAATTTCCTCAATTGACGGAGGAGCAGGATACCGCCAACTAGGTATAAATTCAGAAAATAGATCCCCAGTTATCGGAAAAGGATGGGATAAGATTTACGTTAGTGTGGGAATTATATCAAAGTACAAAGGGATTATCTACGAAATTAAATAAATGCTTACAGGCTTACAGAGGATGCACAGTCTGAAGCATGGGGCTTGAACCCATCAACAGGAAGAATAAATTACACGTTGAGGGGGGGGGGGGAAGTCCACTAAACACCATAAATTGTAGACAAAATTTATTAAATCAAAAGTTATTAATAAAAATAAAATAAAATTACACTTCCTAAGCTGGATACTTTCCTAACTGAATAATTTCCTTAACTTAGGCACTTTAACTACAACAATTAATGTGGATCTCTACACTGTAATTTAACCAGAAGACAGAACATTCACCTTAAATACCACAGGCAGACCAGTTGTTTACTCTTGTCCTCTGAGAAATGTTGACCCCAGGCTGCCCTCAACACGCACGGAACTTTCTCTGTTCTCTCAAGCTC